GCCCAACTCACTAAATGATCTAAATCCTTTTGTAAATCAGCAGCATCCTCTTCACAGCTAGTGATACTGAAGACCTTTATCATCTGCAAACTTAAGTAAATTATTGACTATTCCTTCATCTATGTCATTGATGTAAATCAAAAAGAGCAAAGATCCTAATTCTTAGCCCTGAGGTACCCCACTTTTGACATTAATCCAGTTTGACTGAACTTCATTTGTAACAACCCTCTGCTTTCTTCCATCCAGTCTTGCAAGTCTTGATAATTTGAGCTGAGGACAATAGTTGTTGTCAAAATACTGAGATGAACATAAAAGTTTTACTATAATTTAAAGAAAAGAAGTTGATTCTATTACCAACAGTATTGGAAATATAGATGTGTAAAAACCAAGAACAACACTAATAGACACATTCTTTAAACAATAATGTATTTATATATATTGTGGCTCAATTTGAGTCTTAGTTACTTGATGATTTTTGTATAACATTTTCATTTATTTTATTCAGCTGCTCAGGATATGACTTCATGGGCTGCAGATGAAAACAGGGCTATTCAAGTATGTATGATCTGCAGTTACTGCATGTTTTAGTAATTCTGCCTGATGTTTTATTGATAAATTCTTTGTGCTCTGTTTGAAATTATACTTATTTTGTTTGATTTTCATATTAATCATTTATAGATAGGTAAGACTACCTGTAAAAGAAATTTATAATTATTCTAAACCTCAAGTGCAACTGTAAGTTCACTAATTACTTGCATTAAAGGAAGAGAAGAAAATAAGTGTTTAATGTCTTAAAAGAACATGCATATAGTTTGTAACATTAATCAAAAGTAGAAATAAATTTCTAAAATAAAATTAACGAACAATCAAATTTGTCTTTAATTTAACACGTAGTTTTCTATCAACTTTAAGGATATCATGAGCCACCTGGCTGAGCTCAACAATTTATGGACAGATGTGCAGAAAGAATTTACAGGTGAGTTTATTAGGTTTTTAAAATGGAGCATTTAAAATTATTTCATGTATTGAGTTTTATGAGAACTGATGGATATTCTTCACTTCATGCATTGTGTTATCATATTACTATCAGGCTTGGTTTTACATGCGGTTTTTAATATTTCTCCTCCAGTGTTCTTTTCTTATAATTCTAGTATAAGCTGAACTAAAGTGCTGCTGTTTTTATATAAAGTATTGATATACATTTATTTGTATTAAAAATTGAGTAAAAGCTTTTGCAAATGTACATGCTCTAATCACGATAAAAATATGTTATTGGTTTCATATCAATTTAATAAGCTTGTGAGAAAATAGTGCATGTGTGTGTGTTTGTATAACTATTTAAATTTCTATTTTTACTGTTTTTTTTTTAGAACACCTGAAAAACTTTAAGCATCAGTTTGAAATGATTTTGGATGGAGAAAAACAAGTTGATAATGCTCGTGCCCACCTGGTAAGTTGGGCTATATGTGATCTCCGTTTTTAGTTCAAGGATCACGTTTTAACTACTTGAACAAAAGTCTATAAGTAATTCCTTTGAGTTGTTTGTAAAGGTAATTTAGTCACCCAGTAATCAGTTTGATTTTTACATTTGGTGATATTTATGTGTTTTATATATAAACATTGGTTGCAAATCAGAGCAAGTTCCATACTTAGAGTGAAACTAAAAATCAGTATAGCTAATTAAATATAATTACATACACTTAACCATTCACCCCATCAAAGTCACTTCTCACTTACTCTCAGGAAACAACTAAAACATTAAACTAAGGTTATTATGTCTTTTATGCCTTAAATAATAACCAAAACATTATCTATTCACACCAATAGATGGTAGGGATGTTTATTTTAGGACTTGTATAGGTAAGTTGTGTATAATACTGAATAGTTGGAACATTGTGTCTAATGCCCAACTGAAGTTACTTGTTATACATGATTCATTCCTCCATAAGGTTATTTCCCACTGATTGGCCAAGCCAAGTATGTAAATAAATCATCTATTTTTTTACATAATAGAGGCATAAAAGAATGATAGAAATTAACATTATTTGTTTTTGATTATCCAAATGACCAGTAGGACAAAGTGTATGACAACTTTTGTGTCTGTGACTGACATTAAATAAACTTGTATACAAATGATTTGTGTTGTAGGCTTGTTTTGTATGTTGAAGTTTTTTGCATGTTAGTTATTTTGATTCTGTTTAGTTTTGTTTGTGCACAACACCAGTAAATTTTATGAAGGTTTATAGATTATCCATCTTGTTATACTTTTGAAAATGCATCCTATTTGATAACCATACCTCTTTAAAACCACTTCAAACTACTATTAGGCAGGACCACAACAGGAACTACATAAGCTTATCTGTAGAAAAACATACATTATTATAGCTGTCAACTAAAAGTGTTTCCAGTAAATTGACAAATATTTCTAAACAGCCTGATAACTAGGATGTTGGAAACACCATAGACACTGACATTATATAATAGTCTGTTTCACTTGAGTGAAAATAGCTTTCCAAAAAATGCCCCCTCCCCCCAATAAAAGAACCATATAAGGATTTACCTGAAATATAAATTTTTTGTGTGTATCATTACCAGAAGAACTATATTCCTACTAAAATCTAGCATTATATATTGACCCATTTCACTCTTACAAAAACTTCACAGGCAAAAATCCCCCCCCCCCAATTACTTTTCTTGTGTAAGAATATATTTATCATAAGTTAGAGAATCTAAAAATTTAGAGTTTAGGTATTTATCTTAATTTTTTTGAGCTGCCTGTGAGCTCACAATGAAAGCAACTTGGTGAATAACTCATTTTACCCTGATGTATCTAACAAAGATCTTCACAAACAATACCCTTTAAAATAACATACAAGCTATTCTAAAACCTCATACAATACATTAACATAGTATCTGTGACAAGTAATTATAGTGATGTATATTATATCAGTGGTCAAGATTGTGCTGACCACCTTGTCTTAGCTTTCTCTGTATAAGTAAAGAATAAATTAGTTTTGAATCTGTAAGGCTGTATGCAAGAAATGCCTGTCCAACAAGTGAGGCAAAATGAGATTTTTACATGGGTCTAACATAAATAAGTCTCATAATAAATACCTTCAAAATGTCTAGAACATCTACTGTACATCTTGAAATACAATGAACCCTCAATGTGGAAATATTGGTGGTAATATGGGTACATGTTTAGTGAAAATGACAAAAGTTCTTGAAGGCACTTTAAACAAACACAACTATGTGTAACTTGCCATACAGTACAATATATGGTGCACTGTTTGCAACAGCAACATAAAATAATTAGGTCACAGCTCTGAGCATAATGCAAAGCCTAGTAGTTGCCTCAGAGACATGGTAATTAGTAATAGCCTGTATAGACAAACAAATTACTAAATGATGTCTGAAAGGGGGGTAAAGTACCCACTTATAAATGTTTCTTAAACAGTGGTATTGTATGAAATCTTGACACAACCAACTTGGCTGCTCTGAATATTGCATTTAACGACTTGTTTTGCATGTTTGAGCTTCAGAACAATTCGCAAGTTACATATAAAGTTGGTGATGGCTACAAATCTTTGTTCTGTACTTTACTGTATTAGTGATTTTCACTACAAGAATAAAAGCTTATGTTTTCATAACACTTCAAGGAATGGAGAACTAAAATAGATTATCAATATATAAAAGAATGTAATTTATTAGTTTCATAATCTATACAAGTATATACAAACAGCTGGTGAATTGTGTAATGTCATATCAAAATTCCAATACAATAAATATTCACAGTATTACCATTCCAGTCGTGTATGACAGAATAGTTAGAAACTTCATTTATATGTAGTTTGTAGTAGTTTTCTCATACTTAGCTTTCCTAATAAGCAATAATAAAACGTCTATAAAGAAATGTTTACATGTGTTACTGAATATAAAAAAGTTGATGTTCGTATTGTTATTTACTGTACAGATTAGTGTTAGAGGGATTGTTGCTAGCTAGGCTTGTTTCTATGTTGTAAATGTGGTAAATAAAACAAATATTTATTTTCATCTAATGAAACTTTTTTGTTATTACACTACAATGTTTTTTCTCTCTCTCTCTCTTTTTTTTTTACCTCAAGACCATTCATAATAGTCATGTTTCTCATCACTCTGGGATCAATGTTATCTGGTGGCTAAACTTCCAACTAGGAAAATATTTTTCATTCTCATGACTTATCATTTTTCTTTATTTTCTGAATATTCTCTCTGTGAGTATCCACAGAACTAAGTCATCAAAATCTCTACCTGTAATATGTAGTTGATCTTGCATTTGATAAAAATAAATATGTATTTATTTTAGTTTTAGATTTCCATTTTTCACAGTACAACATAAATTATTTGTCTTTTTAGAAGCTTCAGTTAATGTCATGCAGTTAGCACTTTTTGGACACTTTTAAGGTTCAATTATACCTGACTAGTCTTGCAATACACCAAGTATCTGTTTTCAATATCCACAAAGAGGCTTAATGCTTCAACAATTACACCTGATGTAGTGGTATAGATCAGAATTCATTTCATTCATTTTGCCTGCCATATTAAACAGATGGTGTACTTAGGTCAACATTGTACATTTTATGAGACAGGCAATGATATCTTTCTCACCTTGCATTCGGGTGTGAAGCCATGAGCCTTTTGCCTTGCTCCTCTTTCCATTTTAGGTTTCTGTTCTATCCCTTTGTTTGACTCTCCATGTTATCCCTAGCCCCCTTTGATACCTGCCTTTATAAGTTCAATTTTTCTTCTTTGGTGTTTACTCTTTGTCAAATAATGTTGTTAAATGTTTGGGCCATAGTCATAATTGTTTGCGAACAACTTCACAGTATTGAGAGAACTCCCTTTTTTTTCCTTGCTTCTGTCATCTTTGGACATTTTCGTGGCCATGATCACTGCAGCACTATTTTTGTTGGGTATTTTTTCAATGTAGCACAGGAGCTTTTGTTGAAAGAAGATTTCTAGGCTAAAGTGTGCCATTTGGTTTTTAGTTGACAGGATAAACTGGCATCTTGATAATGCCAGTGATATTCATCCCTGCTAAGTTTACTTATTTTTTACGAATAAATTGAGTAACGATATGCATGTGTGATTCAGAAAAGTCAATTTTTTATATAAATGTGCCTGTATCAGTTATAGATCTTGTGAGAAGGGAATGGGGCATTGTTAAGATTGTTGCTGATGAACAAAAATAATGCATTTTTCATGGCTTACAAAACCATGATATAGTCTATTATTTAGGTCACTTGTGAGATTTTAAACATTGGCATTTTCCTTTTGTACCAAGTTATGCCTCTATCACTTTTTCAGACAAATTATTTTAGATTTTGAGAGATATTTACCATTTTCTATGCTGTCACTAGTAATACTGCAATATCGTAGTGTAGTTTCTAACCATATTTTTGACACTTTTGACCTTTTCAACTGACTGGCCACAAGGCCCTCTTTCCAAAACTGCCTTACAAACATCTGAATCACTATTACTAGTTTGTACCTTATACTTTATTCTGTGCATGGATTCATTCTTATACATACCTTCTATACTATTACTGGGTTCTATACTAGGAGATGATTCATTCCAGTTTCAGTACTGTTTTTGCTCAGTTGTTGTTCCCACTTTCCCATCTGTGTTACACGTGTAATAATATTGTTCCCTAACCAGCAACAGCAAATAATTTTATCTATGGAGTTTCATCAGAATCCACATTTTCTGCCTCATGAGGGTTAGTATTCTTACTTTCCAGCTTCTTCTAATTAAACTGTATACAGTCTTCTCATATTTGAAAAACATTGATGTGAAAGTTGTAATAATCTATTTCCAAAGATGCATTGGCATAATGTTTGTTTATCTATTGATAAAAGTTTAAAATTATTAAAACTAACACGTGCCTGTTATCACAAGCAAACAATTCCACAAACTTGTAACATTTACTAAAAGTGTATATCTTATTGTTGTATATAATGAATATAATATATAAAATTTATCTTTACAAAACACAAGTAAAATGTTTTATAGTTGTTGAAAACTCAAGGTAGCAGAATTGGTTGATACTAAAAATATGCCAAGCATATCAAAGGAAGAATTTTCACAGTTGTATTCTTCAGTAAGAAAATGTAAATGTCTTTAGTGAAATTTTACAGAAATATGAAGTGTGGTTTAAACCAAATGTTTAATTCCTTTAGTAAGTTATTTAGGTTTCAGCTTTTATAAGCTTACATTCTTGTTTTTAGGAGAATATAAATTGTTCAAGATTGATATGTAGTTCATTAGAACGAACTGGTTTTCTTCTTGTAGGCCCAATGTGAACAACGAGAACTACGAATCAGAAAAGAGTTAAAGAAAGCTGCAAAGGTTAATTGCCTTTCTATTTGTTTTTTGTGAAATCTTTTTTTAAAACTGTTTCATAAGCCAATTAAAAACTTTGAATTTTAAAGTATCATTCTGAAACTTAGTTTTTGATTTCTGTAGAAAATGTTTCCCATCAAATATTATGGTGATTTAAATTTTATTTATTTTTTTGTTTTATACAATAAGAATCTGTTTTTATATTCCTTTAAAACATGTGAACTACGTTAATCACCCAGTTTTTAAATAACAAATTTGTAATAATAAAATAAATGGTTTGTATAACATTCTAAGTATTAACTTCTAGTACATGATAATTTAGTGTATTGGTGCTGTTGAACTTTACTGTTAAATTTAACTAACATAAAGGATATTAAATATACAAAGTAAACAAGTCTAACAAGTGAGGAAACGTGTATATGTGTTACAAAATGCTGCAACCAAGATCATTGATGCTAATCTCCAAATAATCTAAATAACAAAAGAAAAAGAGATGTTACTAAATAGAGCACTGTTGAAAAGTTTGTTTATTTTTTACCTTAAGGAAGATTTGTTTGTTTATGTTACCTTTATTATTAATTTTTACACTACTTAAAGTTATTAAAGAAATAAATACTTTGATCTTTATATGTGTACTTGTATTATCATAGAAACTGTTACCTAGGTTACAGGAGATTGATTAATGTGATACATGCATTGTCAAGAAATAATATTTTTATGCTTATATTGTTAATAATTTGCTTTAGTAATGTAAACTAGACAAGAAAAGCCTGAATAGGAGACTAATGCTGACATTTAAATGTACATGAAAATATCCTGTTTTGTGGAAGTAAAGATTGCTGTGTTGTCCAAACCTATACCTACATTGCCTAAAATGATTAATTTCCTTTTATTTGTGATAGTTGATAAGTTGTTATTATGGTTAGAAGTTAGTGACTGTATTTGATATCTGTAGAAAGCAACAGTTGAAGAAATCAACAACTTGGAAATCAAGCTGTCTCAGGCTGAACGAGCAAAGGATTTGGCACAATTAGAAAGTGAGAAAATTAATACAAAGATAGTGCACTTATAAAGCTTTAATATCTGGTAGTACTTCCTTCAACTTTTTATAAGAAAAGAACAGTAAAAGGTGTGATATACTGTTTCTTAGACTCCTTTCTCTGGATTAGACCAATATGGGAGAAACCATTCAAATCCACAGCTAGTAAAAAAACTTAAGACATTGATCAAGTTATTTTTCAAACATAGAATTTTTTTTCATGTGAAAGTTTCATTTATAAATTTTAATTCAGTTCCTGTCATCATATAATCTCTCATTTATACATGTTTGTGGTATTACTTCTATATTTCCATGACTTGCATAAAATTTTGTTGATTTGTTTTGATATTAGCAACTTTTGTTTCCTTTTCATTGTGCAGAATAATAGGATTGGACTGTAGAGACAAAGATGTGTTAGTTTGTTTTGGTAGTACTGTAGGAATTATATAACTTTCTCTGTGACATTTTTCTTGTTAATAGGATATTTATCAGTGTACAATGTAAAAACCTGAGTGACAACAAAAACACAGTACATTACACTTTGTAGTTTCTCCATTATCTATACTTGCTTAACTCTCTCAACACTGGCTCGGTCAATTTGACTGACCACATGACCTCTTTGTACTCATTCAAAGTCTTTTATAGATTTGATACTACTAACTTTTAATATAGTGTGTATATCTTCATGAAATTTGTCAGTCGTTCAGTAAATATCATAAGTCTTTCACATACAAAAAATCATATTTTTTACTGAAGTGTTTTTAATAAACTAAAAAAAGA